CTCAAAGCAGAAAACTTGGAAATAGCCGTTAAAACTAACAGATTACTGCTCACAGCTAAAACGCCAGAGATAATGTTTAACAAGGCCAGTATCGTCGATGAAATACTTTCAAATGACAAATCCATCTTCCAGCAAAGTCGAGATGAATTTTGCATTTTCAGTTTCAATTTTTCAGCGGAAAAAAAAAAGATTCTTCCCGTTTTCTAAAAATTTAGGCCCTAAACAGCCCCCAAAACTTGCAGATAAAGGCAATTACTGAACTCACCTTGACAAAACCGCGTTATTATATGTATTGTTTATTCTTGACTTGATTTTTTTCTTGCACTATTGACAGGCTGTCAAATCATACTTTAAGGGAAAGATCTCATTTTAAGCCTTGAAATGTATCCCTTTTGAGTTATTCGTTGTTTGTCTTAATTAGTTTTTCTCAGCTGCCCAAACATTTATTTTTCGTAAACGCGATAAAGTTTCAATAAGCTGGAACAAAAGTTTTTTTCGCCGCTGTTATGATTTGTTTGCACAATATTTGGTTTATTTTCACAAACTTCCGGTCGAAGGCAATGAAACAGCTTACTTCATTAGTTGATGTAATGTATATTTCTTACCTGCACAATATTGCGTGACTTTGTAATTTTGATTTTTGTTCTTGGTAATTTGTAATAATTCGTCTTGCCAGCTTATACTCTGTAACAGCTTTTTTTTTTCTTTTTCATTCACACACGTTTCTTCTCACTTTTTTCTCGTGTTCTCGTATTCTCACTATTTTCTTCCAATTATCAGAGTTGTAAGCTTGATTGAGGTGTGAGATATTAGTATTTCTCGCCTTTGTTATTTCGAGCTCTTAACATTCTGTGGTAAATTAATACAGCAGCAGGACGAAGGCGACAACGATCCCCCCAACCACCCCCCCAACCCATCACATAATGAACCGTCAAATGGCAACACGCAGAAATGATTGAAGACGTTTAGTCAAGAGAAAATCAAGCTATAATTAAAGCTTTATCTTTCTTTGGTTCATTGCAGTGCTTCAAATAGCCTTAAATTGTCAAACTGAGGTTCAAAATTGGATAGAAAAAGAAATAGGAAAAGAAGCTGTAGTTGGTAGTTTTTTTTTGCCCTTATTAGACGCAAAAAAAAATGGCATAATTGGTTTAAGTTTAAAAGAATTTTAGATTAAATTTCAAGATTATCTCAGTGGTGATTAAATCGACACGAAAAATCCTCCTACTTTGTCGGGCGAAGAACGAGGGGGGAGGGGGGGGGAAGGTGTAAGTGTTCCCCCCTCTCTCTCTGGCCTAGGCAAGATTTTGAGAATCTGGATGGACCAAAATGTATTCTAGAAATTTCCCATTATGTAAAATCCTATTCGAGCGTAAAATTTGGCGGTCTTGATGTTCATGTTTACCTTTTTGGATTGAATGACGAAAGAAATATATCTCAACAAGATTTGGCACAATAGCTTGTTGACCCCTCGGGGTACCAAACCTCTAACTTACGTCTGAAACGCAATCGAGTTTGACACAGGAAGCTGAACTGGTTCATAGCTTTTCCAGCTGATGGCAAACCCTTTCAAAACTATTTCTGAATCAAAGTTCTTAAATCTAGCAGATGCATATATAAATCAATGGCTTATCAATGTCTACAAACTCAAAACAATTTATCAGATACACAAGGTTGTTATTCAAATTAGGTAAAGGTCGTTTAACTTAGGGTCAAGCTTCCTCGGCTCTGTATGTTTCAAAGTCATCTGTACTTTCAGAATGGAAAATAAAGCGGAAACTTCTTTCATAAAGGTTTACAAGATAATCGAACCTAAAAGTTTTCTAACTTAAGGAACTCTCTTCCTTTATAGTTTTACGAACTTATGCGTAACATGAGTTAATTATCCACCGTTGAAATGTGCTTGTCTACTGTCTATTGCCAGTGGCAGCTGTTTCTCGTTTCTAGCTTTTAAAGTCTTTTGTAAGACTACTGGAATTCAGGGACTGAAACACGTTATTTAAAAATTAGAATTAACCTCTCTCTTCCTGATCTTGTGATGTGTACGAAACAAAGTGTAAAACCATTGTAAGTAGTCCTTTGTTTACATCTCCCAACAAAAGGCGTCCCTCCGTTGTCGAATCCACTGATCACAATTCTTGATGTCTTTAACTTGATCATAAAACGCATGAGATGGAAGTCCAGTTATTCCTTGATCGCCAAGTTGCATTCGCTTCCCACAGTGAGGGCAAATAACAGAATTTTCGACCAGGAATTTCTTGAGACATGCTTCACAAAATTCGTGTAGACAGCCAAGTAGTTTGACGTTGTTGTTCAGTTCTGCGCTGCGGCAAAGTTTACAAGTTGGATGATTGCTATTTTCCCTTGGAATGACAAAAGAGCTAATAGCAGAAGCCATTGCGGTGTAATTAACGTGATATCGAAACTAGCCCTTGGTGCGAATGCAAATTTTGAAGCTACTCGTAACCCGCAGTTGCGATCTTATCTCACTGGAATTTATTACTCATATTTCCGCTCGGCCGCGTAACAAAATCTTACTCTCTTTGTTATTGAATTGCAGAACTTGACACAAGTAAATATTACCAGTGGCCCAGTGGTGCCTCTAAACCCTTCGTAATTTCGAGGATTAAGATAAGATAAAAAAGGATAGAGCTGTTAATCTGTCAGATTCATAGGAAAAAAAAACTGAATTATACTCTTTAAGTGGGTTTGACGTTTGGAATTTTGTAATTTATTATTCCGTCAATTGGGTTGTCACGATCATGACCCAGATATTCCGCGTGAGAAACGATACGGTTAGGGGAGAAGTTGGTAACTAATGACAAATGGGTCTGGGGTGGATGGGAAAGGGGAGGAATGAAAGATTAAAGGATATAAGTATTATGAAAACTTCGGTTTTTGCTCGGACCGATGGAGAAGTAGAAATGACGTCTCTTTGGCCGGTAGATAAAACGGAAAAATAAGCTTACTCAGTTGATGAAAGAGGAACTTGATATTGACTGTGATATTAATTATTCAAGGACCCAAGTGGTTTGACATGAGTCGAGTCCCTCGGTACAAAATACGGGCTATTTTCATCTTCCCCCACCACATTGACGCCTAGTTCTCTCTTTTTTATTTCAAGTTTTTCCTAACACACGATATAAAGGACAAACAACAGATGAAGGATGTAGGAAAAACGAGGATACGATAATATATGTTTAGAGATAATGATGATTCTACAAGGTCACAGATCAACAGTGCATATTATTCTAATGCGGTAGTTGATCAGCGCAATATCGCGAGAAACCAAAAAAATTACAATCTACAATCCGATGGGGTCGCTACATTGAATCTGTTTCATAATTCATCTTTAAGGAGATCTCCGTAGCTAGTTACTCGACTTCCAGCAAAAATATCATAGTGCTTTATAAGTTCATCTTCTGTCAAGAAAGTATCCTGCAAAACAAACAAAACAAAACAGTTAAATGTTGTATTTTAATACAGGTCAGATTAAAGACAATAAAACATCATAGGTTGACAAAGTACTGTTTACACATTTTCTGTTTGTTTGTCTCTAAGTATGACACTTAAAGCTTTTAAAGACTGAAAAACTTATCCTAACAGCAGTGCACATGTCAGATCTGAACCTGCCAAGCTGTCGCCAAGCTGCTGACGTCACCTTCATTTCCTCAGATGGATTGAACAACGCTCTTTATTGAAGCAATATAATGTTAAGAGTGACAGGTCTCAATCAAATCATTACCTTGTCGTCATCGCCTGCCTTCATAAGATGTTTTGCCTCGACTAATATAGGATCCTCATGCGCGCCGGGAAAGATCCATTCTCGAATCTCGTTCTGCAGGTATACAAAGAAGAAAAGCGATAAATACCCTCCATCATGCCTTTCACCTAGGCGAACTGCGTCGAGGCTAATATATCTTTAAAAAGTAAGCCTTATTTTTTTTATAGTTCGTCGTTTGCAATCCTAAACTATTCTTGTTACCAAATGATATTTTCTTGCTTTTTTGAGGTTGCATTTTTTTTTATCTCAGACAGCTCGAAAATTGTGGCAAACGAGCCCCCTAGTCTCTATAAAATGATCTGATTCGTCTTCTATGAAAGAACAGAAAATACCCATTCGCACCTCCTATATTGAGAAAAGACGTACCCTGTCAAGAAATCCATCCTTGTTCAAGTCTAGTTCTTTATTAAAACTTTTTTTGAGCACATCAAGCTTTGACTTAGAAAGCCTGTTCACTTCATCCCCTGTTGTGATAAATCAGTAAAAAAGAAGCAATCATTTTACTCTCCATGTTTAATCTTATCCCCTCCCTCCACTCCCCCTCTCGTTAAATTATCAGGCAAACACCCGAAATAGCTAAGCATAATGATCTTGATGTCAGCAGGCTAAAAAAAGAACAATTGATTCTGAGTTCGTTCCAAGACTATGGCTCAAAACCAAGCAACACGAAAACTAATTGATTCCAAACATGTAGCCGTACATAACGCGCACAAATTGTATGTTCTATGCCTTATCTAACATGGAGAGAAACACATTCCTTTGCACGGGAAAAAAATAGATTCAGGAAAACCTTCCATCACATGGATATGCAGATGTCCTTAGAGAATAGCGAAATGAACACGTTAATTTACATACCAAGGTATTCGTCAACGGATATTTTTCCGTCCTTGTCTGTGTCAAAGATGTCCAAACTTTCCTGACAAGGCGAAAAAAAAATAGAAAATGTTAAATTGTTTGAGTACGATGACGTATTCCATGACCTAATAGACAGTTTTCCTCAGCATTTGTACGAATCACGTGACACTTACCTCAACGAAGTACGAAGTCATCCTTTTGGACTCCTCGGGATGGAGGAGAAATGACAATTCTTCACGGGACAGTACTTTATCGTTGTCTGTGTCAGCAAAATCAAATCGCTTCTTTTCACGTGAGACTAATATCTTGAATTCCCCAAGACCTTTCTCTTTGAGGCCTTCAATAGATACAACGAAGACTTGTTCAAATCCATGTGAGTGGAATTCGGGACCTCCGGAACACGTCCGGTTTAGACGCAAATTGTTTATTTTTTCACCAGGAACTTCAATAATTCAAACCAATTAATGAACGATAAAGGGATTTCATGTTTCTTCCTAAAGGGACAGATATTTCCTCAAAGAAATAAAATTTTAAACTGGTTAGAATGTGAACGTATGGAACAGAATTTCTCACCTTTTTCTGTGGACGAAGGGTACTGGGTCTCCCTGTACTCTTCCCATGATATCTTGCCGTCGTTGTTCGAATCCATATCCTGCATTTTTAGATCAGCCTGGCGCAACACATGTTTTTTCATGTGCTGTTCAATCCATCCATACAGCTCAGGAATTGAGATTTTCTTGTCGTTATCGACATCTATTTTGGGGAACAGTTCCCTGTTATCGAGAGATGAAGAAAAACGTCTTTTACTTTAGAATAACGGAAAGTGTTCATGAAAATTTTATCAATGATTTTTAAAATAAATTGAAATGGAATGAAATGCAAATTTCCTAAGAATGAGGTTATGGCATTATCACATAGCTGGTTTCAAGAGTCACCACGATGAAGCGTTCGATCTAAATGTTCGCGTTGATCACTCAGACCGAAAAAAAGTCCTGGTAACCAGTTTAACCACTTAGCAACTTTTGATGCAAAAAATATTCTGTTACGAGAAGAATCCTTTGAGAGCAATGGAACACTTTTATGTCTTTAGCGCTGAAAGAAAACAACGAGTTTCGTAATTTCTTTTCAAATCCTTGGCACGATTAATTGCAATATTATAAATCCTTGAAAGACACACGCTTGCGTGGTCTCGAAGGCGGAAAATTTGCGTTTGTTCAGCGTCTTTTCAAATGATGTTAATCGTTCAAGCTTGGCTTAGGTCCGAGACATATTGACTTGTTCAGTTGTCATGGTAACGTCTATCAAAAGCAATCTCACAGTAGGTCAGAAATGAACCACAAATAGTTATGACGTTAAGATGATTGATTTACGTCATTTTCAAACCGTGTCTCTAGCAATTTTGTGGTTTAACACACAAAGCTGTTGACATCAAACGACTGGAAAAAATTGATCTACATCGTGAGTAAGCATTACAGAAAGTTGCGGAGCAAAATGATAGAATATTATCCCTTCTCAAAAGTCTGCTAAAATTAGGTTCATAGCTAAACACAATCGCTGTATTTTGAATGCATTTCCCGGTTATATTAGCCATTTTTAAAAATGAAGGAGTTCTAGAAGTTATAAAAGTGACGATTCACTTGATTTTGTCCATCTAAATGTTCCATTAAAATGAAATGTAACCTATTCTATGGGACAACAGTCAATCAAAAGAACTTGAACTTAAAATAATGTTTCCATAACCTTAATCTACAACGCACCATTGAAGGGACGTTTATTCTAATAGCGAGAGCGCCCCCTCACAACGTGCTCTACAGTACCGAGAATTCTTTGTGTTCTCCTCATACTGGTGGTGTAATTTTCCGACAGTAGGAAAAACAAACTTATTAATTGAGTAAACGATGGAGTAACAGAGCAACAAAGCTACTTACGAAAGTTTTTCCATCACTTCGTCAACAGGTAGTTTGCTCGATTCCGAAGATAGTGCTCGGCCGAGAAAAGCTTCATGGTCGTATTCAAGATTATGTTCCCCCTTTTTGTAATGGTCTTCATCCGATACTCTGGCTAAAGGCGGGTAAAACAGTTTAGTGGCCGACACACTCAGGGCGCATACACAGAGCGAAACGAAACCCACAATGCTGAGACCTCGGAGCATTTTCAATCGCACGAACGCAACAAAATTACACGAGCTGAACTGACAGACGGACCAACAAACGATGAATTTTTTCTGAGAGTTCTTGAATTTAAAGGCACCTGATATCGTTTCGTGTAAAGCCACGTTTCTCAGAATATTGGACGATGCGCATCCTTCCGTTATGTCGGCTGTCAGTCAAACATATTAGTGCCCCAGTACAAGCCGTATGACAAAAGTACTTCAAACAGTTTTAACTCCCTCATAATGCCCTTGAAACACGAAATAATTTTATCCAGAAATATTTATACCGCGAACTTAAAAATCAAATCTTACAATGCTCTTCGAGAATTACATCAGAATTGGATTTATAACTTCATGTTTTTCATCTCTCACAGTTTCTTATCGAGTTTAAAATCTAGTGGATGTCTTAACATAAACGAAAAAAAAAATGTTCACCGAGTCATCTAAGATCAAACAACCATTCCGATATCAATGTATTATACTCTGACACAAAGGGTCTTGAACTAGCGAGGCAGTCTAGCGTGTAATCTAAATTCATACTAAACTGATATTTGATTGTTTGTCTTTAGACCAAAGTACTTGAATGTGAGCTTTACCGGTGTCGGCGGCTAAGCATTGTCTCTGGCTGTTCAGACAAAGATCTTAAAATGCATGCCATAGCCGATCAAAAACTCGTAAAAAAAGTAAATATCTTGCATGAAGAGAGTTTTTTAAAATCCAGTTTTCAAATACTGGATTTAAAAAAACTTACTCTGTTTGTCTTCAATTTACATGTGTTTTTGCTCTCAGTGTATTGAATCATTTCTAATCATTCATTCACGATGATTCACTTATGAACTTTGGTTTAAAAGATTGCGCAAGGAAAATACTTACCAGGAATTACTCGCGAAGAGGAGACCGAGGAGGAGTGGGAGGGGGAAGAAGTAGAGGAATACTATCAGATTACTCGCGGACAGAAGGGATACAGAATTCTGTTTAATGTAACGCAAGTCTTAAAAAGCTGATTGTTGTGACTGTGAAGTTTGATTGTGCAACAATTCTTCGCAGACTTTTTTAACACCTAATGCACCGTATCATTTTGGTGTATTTGAAACTGATGATTCTCTATTTATTTTTATCAACATTTTTCTTTAAAATGATAAAGAAATTGTTCAACGTGATCGAAGTGTAATCAATTTTATAATCATTTTAATTTATTTTGTCTGAGGAACTTCATAGACATACACTTGTTTAGTATCAAAGAGAAAAAAGAGTAACAAAAAAAATTTCGCTGTTTCTAAAGTTCAACCTTAGCCTTTTCATTCTTTTCAGCCTTTTCAGCCTCTTCGGCCTTTCTCTTCTCATTTTCCAGAACTTCTCTAACTGAAGTGAAAAGATCGATATTCTTGAGAATTTCGCTATCAGTGATAGCACCATCCTAGAATAATAAAGAGATATTACATTATGAGAATGCAAATATTCTATTTCCTCGAATAAGCGCCCACGCTCTAATAAACGCCCTCTTCCAAATAAGTGCCAACCCCCTTGGCCAATATATCAAACAAGCACCCCCCTCGAGTAAGGCCCCCCCCTCCTCCCTCTCTTAAATACTATTCTTAAATAGCAGGGATACAAGTGAAACCTGTTTCTTTTGCCACTTCATTTATAATTTTTAGGCTTCAATTACAGTTGAATCGGTAAAAGAAGAAAGTTTCTTTCCCATTCTAGTTATTTCTATCTCCATTTGCTTGCATAATTCCTTTCTCTGCGATATCTGTTCTTTTGATTTTTGTCCCACTGCTGCGCCATCTTAATAACTTAATAAGCGCCCCTCCCATTTATTCAGCTACAGCTTTCCTTTAAGAGCCCCGACACTTAACTGGAGACAGAAAACGAGGGTGTGGCCTCGTGATAGCCACAACGGCTAACCTTATTATCGTCCGCCCTTTCAAGAACTTGCTTTGTTTGTCTCTTAGCCAAAGACGAAGTACCAATTGACCTTAACCACTCTTTTATTTCCTCCTGGAAGAAAGAACATCGATAAATAATCAAACTTTATTTCAACTGAAACCAAGGCTCAGCCACGAAGCCTCTCTTTGGTGCGATACTAGTGCACACCCGACCTCAGCGGATATTTTCCGAAGAATCCCGACGATTTGGCGAGAACCTATGGACATATGAATCAAAATTTACGATTCTTCGCTGATTACTTTGACAGTTACTCATAACACAAAAAGCCTTAATGAAGGGACCAGCCATTATTCATCATCATCGGTTGTCACGATACAATTTATCTGATTCCCCCCCCCCCC